TACATATTCCTTATAGTCTAATTCTTTCGTCTTTCCCGTTCTCTCCCACTTTCCTCCTCTTCTGCTTTCCTGGAAGGCTTTCCCAAAGAACGGGACTCCATCACCACTCTAATATATGCAAGCAAAGTTTTCACTCCTGTGTCAGTTGATAGTTCTTTAAGGCGATGATACAGTATGTTAGTTTATGATTTAGCAGATATTTGCTCATTTGCTACCTTAAGTGCAGCGATGTAATTTGTTCTGAACAGCAGGTTTTGAGTGGATTCAACATGAGCAAAGGCTATCCTAGGCTTGCTTCATGGCCCTGTGCTGTGCTACTTTGACCAATACTTGTAAACAGCATGGCCATGAAAGTCATTCCATCTCCTGATCCAGCCAACCTGGTATTTCACAGGTGCAAGCAGGATGAAATACATGCAAGAGAAACAAGTTCTCCATTGTGAGCTCATGGCTGCTCCACACCAACAACTTCTGCTACATGGGGTCAAAGTAAATTGGTAAGCCAAGCTTTGGTGTTCACTGGCTGAGCTAAAATTACCTGAAAACCCTGAGACATTTCGCAGTAATTGATCTCCAAGTCACTGACTGAGATTGAAAAGTCATGATTCTCAGGCTTTCATTTTCCATGGCACATTGCCAGAAAATTAACAACCTACCAGATGGACACTAGAGAAGTTTGGAGAAACACAAGACATTCTAGAATCTCTCCAATTACTTTTATTTTTAGAAAGCAGAAAAGGGCTCAACATTTCACTCTAATATGCCTTCTGAAAGGAAAAAGCAAGTCATTGGTAAGGGTACATGACATGCAGATTTCAGAGAAGTCCCACAAACTCCGAATTTCTAAGAACAGAATACATTTGGTTCTTAGCATAAAGAAAAAGCAATGAAAAAGTAAAGAAAATTGAGTGAAAATTAGTAATTACCGCTTTGAAATAAGATTCTCTCTCACTCATTCATTCTCTTACCTCTCTGTCCCATTGTATATATTTGATTTTAACTTTACAGGAAGAGTCATACTTTGTTTGTAAGACCAGGCATATACAAAGTCATACCTGACCTTGAAATCTTATGATCATATGTGTGACTATGCTTATTTTGTATTTTTTATTTTTCTTAATTACAGTTTATTCACTTTGTATCCCCCTGCAGCTCCCTCCTTCCTCCCCTCCCAATCCCACCCTTCCTCACCCTTCTCCACCCATACCCCTCCCCAAGTCCACTGATAGGGGAGGTCTTCCTCTCTTTCCTTCTGGTCCTAGTCTATAGGGTTTCATCAGGAGTGGCTGCATTGTATAAGCTTTTAAGGTGCAAATACATGAAAACCCCATTAATGGCAGGACTCTAATGTTCTACAGCTTCTTGGAAAATCAGCATGTTTCTAAGCATCTCTGTACCTTCACTAGACACTTACATAAAAATTTCCTTTGATTCCAGACACTTCCTTTAGTCTGATTACTTTTCGCATGTATGTGAAGGAACCATTTCACTTAGAGACATTTATATCCCAAATCAAATTTACTCATCACCAAAATTAGTACATTTATATATAATGAAATTATTTTTTTGGAGAACTTCAAAATACAAGCTGAAACTTGTCATTCAGGTAATATTTTTAAGAAGGAAATGTTCTTATGCAACATGACTAAAATACCTTGGGGAACTCTGAAGTCATTTTTTCATTAAATAGAGCTGAAATTATGTGAACAAGTAGAACATAGGAAAGAAAGAGGAAAACAAAGTATAGAACACTGGGGGATGAGAAAATAGAAAATAGACTGTGAAAGGAACAGTGATTTGTTCAAGGTTACCTACTGAGTGAGTGCTTCAGGGAAAGGGGCGGGGAAGATTGAGCCTAAATAAAAAGCCTTAGCTATCCACAGAAATGGCTGCATGCTAAATCTGCCTTTTCAATAAGCATTGCATTCACTCTATCTGGAAGACAATATTCATATTTATAAAATTCCCCCCAGAATATAGCCAAGAGTTACTGTGTAAGCCTGTATTTTTTTAAAACAAGCCCATACATTGTTACTGATCAGAAGTTAACTATGATTTAATTTTCAAATATAAAACCTGATTTAATTTCCTTAACATTTCTCCTGTAGGTATTATCATTTATGTCTTATGGATTCATATAGCTCCAGAATTATTAAATGGGTTGCTTAGGAGTATAATACCAATGAAATTGGTGTGTTTTCATCATTCTGAGCTGTGTAGCAACCCTCTCGGTAGAGCTAACACTTAAAAAATCAAAAGAGGTTTTTATGTAGTGAAAAAAATATGATTAAACAGAAAAATAAAGCTTTGGGTATATTCAAGTTAGGTACAAAGTTGACATTTAAGAGAATCTAAGCTACTGTGCTAATTTATTATATGTGGCTGCTTTTACTAGCTAATTGATTGGGACATCAGTTGAGAATGTCTGCATAAGATCTTTATTTAGATCCTATTTGATAAGCCTTTTTCACATACTAGCATCTCATAAGGAAGCCATGAGAATCCTAATAGAAATCCTTGAAATCCTATTGATTCACTACAAAAAGTAGTTCTATTTGCCAAACAAACCCTCTATTATCTGTGTCGACCTCTATAATGCACAATGCCTTTGATAATGTCAGCTGTCAGCCTGAAACAGTGTAGACTTCTGAGGGAGTCTGAGGGAATGTCCAGATCAAACTGCCCTGTGGCCAGTCTGTGGGGGATTGTCTTGACAACCTACCTTAGGCAGGTAGACCTGAGCAGGTCTAAGCAGGTAGACCTGAGCTAGCTCAGGTATCAGAAAGCTAGTTTAGGATGAATCAGGGAGCCAAGCAAAGAGCCAAGCAGCGAACAGTACTCCTTTATGGTTTCTAACTCAAGTTCCCAACTTGACTTCATTCCTGCCCTGAATTCTTTAGAGAATAGAATGTGAGCTGAAAGGGGAAGCCAAATCACCTCTCTCCTCCCCAGCTTGCTGTTGATGTTCTATCCCAGCAACAGAAAGGTGACTAGGACACACTACTTTTCTGCTTTGTCAAATCCGTTATGCCAAAAATGTTTAAAATATTGAGTTCCTTAATATATGAGTGCCTATCCTAAGGATGGTGAGATTTCTGGGGCAAACTCTCTCCAGCAAAATTCCTTACAGCAATAGGGTATGTAAGCAAGCTTTGTTCTGAAGCTGAAAGGCTGATTAGAAGAGGGTGAGAGTGAGAGAAACACAAGCAGCATCAAGACAGGAGCTGAAAAGCCTTTAAGGGAGAGTGAGGGCACTTAAGCTTATTTCTTCCTCTACTGATTGCATAGAATAGTTCAACGAGCTACTTAACCTCCTTAAGACTCAGTTTTCCAAATTTTAAAATATAAAATGAACAGATTTTGCGTCACAAAAATTGTTGGGATAACTATATTATATGCATGTGTTAATTACTTAAAACAATGTTAGGCATTCAGAGAGAAGGTAAGGGGAATGATGAAAAAAAGTGTAGTGGACACCAAGCTCATTTCAAATGTTACTTTGTTTCCTTCTACAGAACCCTTTGCACAGCCTACTTGAGTCATGCCTGAGAGTTAACCACAGCCCATATCTGGCACCTAACTATCCTTGTTAAGAAAGATTTTACAGATGTTAGTTCAAATTTTCATGTGATTAAGCATCAAGCTAAGCCTGTTTTTATTTCTGTCTTGATCCTGTGTCTTTAGTCAATTGTTCTGTAGTCAAACCCCTGCACTGTATTCCAGTTTTGCCATGCTACTTCCTTGGGTCTAAGAACTGGCTTGCAGAGCCTGCTTGGGACCTTCAGTACTTTGAGGTATGCATTTCCCAAAAGGCAGCCAGCCCACAGATGAGAAACACTTGTTTGGAGTTTATTGTTTGAACTTTGAAAAGTATTATTAGTTGTCTTCAGGAATTTCAAATATTTACATAATGATTTAGGTTTTCAACCTCTCTTGAAACATTACAAGATTTTTTCAAAATGGCCTCTAGTTGCTGCTGTGCCCTTTAGAGGGCCATGACTTTGTATTCTCCACAGGCCCCAGCTTCATTTGTGTCTGGAATTTGCTTGGTACCTCCAGGCATGTGAGGTGGGGCTCTAGGTCTGAGAACATCTGGTGAGCAGCAAGTACCTGCTTTGTGCCAATTCTATATATGCTTGACTCACTTAAAGGCCAGAAATCTGTTCTTGGCCTCTATCTCACTGGCCCTTCTTCTGTACTGCATCCCTTCTGTCTGCAGTGATATTTGGCTGTCTTGTGGTCCCTGGTCACTATCACCCACCCATCAACCAGCTCAGAGAGCTCACAAACATCCCTGATGCCAACAATTTCTCCCCACCTTTAGCCTATTACCAGTCCCTAGACTCTGTCCTCAAATTTTTGATCACTATAATGATTAAGTTCAATCATCCCAGGCTGTTAGTCTACCCCATCCTGATATAGATTTCACGCTCAATGGTGTCCTTAATGTTTCATAGTCCACATCTCACAAATGTGCATATTTTATTACATGGAAACTACATCTGTAAAAATTTTCCCTACAGTTCTTATTAAGATCCCCCAATTATCTAGCAAATATTTATTGATCAACTAGGTTTCAGGCTATGGAATAAAAATTGATCTGCATGTTTGTTTAGCCAGAAACACAATGATGTTTGCCATGTCTGCTATTAGCAATTCAACCACTTTCCAGTGAACTACCTAGCATACAAACAATATTTTAACTGACACACACACACACACACACACACACACACACACACACACACACGGGGTATGTGTGTGTCAGTTAAAATATGACTGCCCACTCTACGTTACAAAATACAAACAAATAAAAGAAATATTTATATGACTAAGCCAAGGTTCAGGAAACAACAAAAGAACACTCACAAAAATAATTATGCATATCATTTTATCAAATTATCTGGACTGAACAGAACTAATTGCACTGTGACTGTTAAATTCAGCCAATGAATACTACCAAGCTTATAAAATATAGTCTTAATAAAAATGTTACTTACATAAGGAATAGTGTCCAAAGTGTCTGTGTTGACAATTATAGGAGCAGGGCTAGCCTAAAGAAAAGAAGCAGAAAAAAATATTAAGTAATCAATAAGCTATTCAGAGACCAGTTCTGTTAACCTATTTAACAAAGATCCCCACAAGCATTCCCTGAGGTCTGGTACATGCCCTGAGCTGTTGTTGGAGGCTGCACTAAGAGGGTTGAGTTTCCACATTTTCCCTCACTTTAAGTACCTATTTGCAATGCTTAATAAAGTATATTAAACACTCATATAAATCACACTGATTTCCCCTTAAACTGTACACAACAACATAGGCTTTGTGCTTCATAATAATAGGTAGGGATCTCCATTAAATTGGTTCATGATAAAATGTGAGTCATTTCTTTATAAAATGAGTTTACTGAAAAACTTTGAATTTTCTTTCAAGTAAGCACAATCAAATCTCAGCCAATATTTAAGCCATTGTCCAACAGTATACTTACCCAATGGAGTAATTCACTTAACAAGTATTTAACTAGTACATATGCTATATCATCCTCTTAATATATATATCTATGATCATAAACATTGGATAAAGTTCAGAAATCAGAGATGAGAGAAAACCATACTTGATATGATAAGCTTCCTTTTTAAAAAAAAATTGCACAGTGTCCAGTAACTCCCTTTAAAGCTGAATGGGAAACCCTGGATGACTGGTACAGAGGTGCCACAAGCCTAGGCATTAGAAAATGAGAGGTGGCAAGCTATTTGCACCACAAATCTGACCTCATGAATATTTAGTAGATCTATTTTTATTTTCAAGTTTCTAGAATTTTCACATCAACCTTTTCCTCCATTCCCCAAAGGATCTTTAATCTCCATCCCAAATTACAGATTTCATTTAGATAGAGGACATACTCTCATCATGATTAATTGAGAGCTGTCCTATGTGATGAAGTTTCTTGGCAAGCGCTCAACTTCTGGGGACATTTCATTAGCTGTGCCCTCTGGAGTCAACAGAGTTAACAGGATTTTAGTGTCAGTCAGCGCCAGTGGAATCCTAATCAAAAGGCTAACAGCATTCCAGTAGGTCTTATATAGCAAAATTCTCTCTCTTTGTTATATTTCATTTTCCTTCTTTATTTATTTATTTATTTATTTATTTATTTATTTTTACTTTTAATTTAAAAAAATTATTTTTACAATTTATTCATTTCATATTCTGACTGTAGCCCCCTTCCTCATATCCTCCCTGCCCCACCTTCCCTCCTTCTCTTTTCCACCTATCCCCTTCTCCTAGACCACTGAAAGGGCCATCTGACCATAGCTTATCAAGTCTCAACAGGACTCCCTGTATCCTTTTCCTTTGTGGCCAGGCCAAATCAGCAGGAGGAAATGATCAAAGAGCAGGCAACCAAGTTCATGTCAGACACAGCCCCTGCTCCCATCACTCAGGAACCCACATGGAGACTGAGCTGCCTATGGGCCACATCTGAGCAGGGGTCTGAGTCCTCTCCATGCATGGTCCTTGATTGGTACATCAGTCTCTGCAGGCACCTCTGCCCAGATTTTTGGCTTTGTTGGTCTCCTTGTGGAGCTTCTGCTCCCAAAGTATCACTATTCACAGATGATATGATACTATATATGAGTGACTCCCCAAATTCTACCAGGGAACTCCTACAGCTGATAAACACCTTCAGCAAAGTAGCTGGATACAAAATTAACTAAAAAAATCAGTAGCCCTCCTGTATACAAAAGACAAATGGGCTGAGAAAGAAATTAGGGAAACAACACCATTTACAATAGCCACAAAACCCATAATGTATCTTGGTATAACTAACCAAGCAAGTGTAAGACTTGTATGGAAAAACAACAACAACAACAACAACAACAACAAAAACCACTTCAAGTCTCTGAAGAAAGAAATTGAGGAAGATAGAAAGATTTCCCATGCTCATGCCTAGTTAGGATTAACAGTAAAAAGACCCATCCTACCAAAAGCAATCTACAGATTCAATGCAATTCTCAGCAAAATACCAATACAATTCTTTACAGACATTGAAAGAAAAATTCTCAACTTTGTATGGAAAAAGAAACAAACAAATCCAGCATAGCTAAAACAATCTTCTACAATAAAAGATCTTCTGGAGGTCTCTTTATCCTTGATGTCAAGCTGTACTATGGAGCAACAGTAATAAAAACTGCATGGTACTGGCATAAAAACAGAATGGTGAACCAATGGAACTGAATAGAAGACCTAGAAAGAAACCCACTCATCTACAGTCACCTGCTTTCTGGCAAAAATGCCGAAAACCATACAATGGAAAAAGATAAGACCTTCAACAAATGGTGCTGGTCTAACTGGATATCCATATGTAAAAAAGTAAATAAATCCATATTTATCACCCTGCACAAAAGTAAATCTAAGTGGATCAAAGAGCTTAACATAAAACCAGACACACTAAATCTGTTAGGAAAAAAACAAACTGGGAAAAAGCCTTGAAATCATTGGCACAGGAGACAACTTCCTGAACAGAACACTAGCAGCCCAGGCTCTAAGATCAACAATCAATAAATGGGACCTTATGAAACTGAAAAGCTTATGTAGAGCAAAGTATACTGTCAACAGAACAAAACAACGGACTACAGACTGGGAAAAGATCTTCACCAACCCTACATCTGACAGAGAGATAATATCCAGAATATATAACAAACTCAAGAAATTAGACAGCAACAAACCAACAACCCACAGTTAAATATAGAATTCTTTTTATTTTTTCAAAAATTGTTTTATTAGAAGCATTTTACTTGTTGATTCTGAAGAGTAACTTTATTGGACAAAATAGATTGGTAATTATTTTCTTTCTTTTTTATTAATTACAGTTTATTTACTTTGTATCCCAATTGTAGCTCCTTCCCTTGTCCCCTCCTAATCCTACCATCCCTCCTTTTATTCACCCATGCCCCTCCCCCAGTCCAGTGATAGGGAAAGACCTGGAGTGGACAGGAGCTCCACAAGGAGAGCAATAGAACCAAAAAATCTGGCCTCAGGGATCTTTTCTGAGACTGATACTCCAACCAAGGACCATTCATGGAGATAACCTAGAACCCATGCACAGATGTAGCCTATGGCAGCTCAGTGTCCAAGTGGTTTCCATAGTAATGGGAACAGGGACTGTCTCTGAAATGAACTGATTGGCCTGCTCTTTGATCACCTCCCCCTGAGGGAGTTGCAGCCTTACCAGGCCACAGAGTAAGACAATGCAGCCACTGCTGCTGTGATCTGATAGACTAGGGTCACATGGAAGGGGATTAGGACCTCCCCTATCAGTGGAAATATAGAATTCTTTTTTTAAACTTTTATTAGTTACACTTTATTCACTTTGTATCCCCCCATAAGCCCCTCCCTCCTCCCCTCCTAATCCCACCTTCACTCCCCCTTCTTCACGCATGCCCCTCCCCAAGTCCACTGATGAGAGGTCTTCCTCTCCTTCCTTCTGATCTTAGTCTATCAGATCTCATCAGGAGTAGCTGCATTGTCATCTTCTGTGGCCTGGTAAGGCTGCTCCCCCCTCAGGGGGAGGTGATCAAAGAGCAGGCCAATCAGTTTATGTCAGAGGCAGTCCCTCTTCCCATTACTATGGAACCCACTTGGACACTGAACTTCCATGGGCCACATCTGTGCAGGGGTTCTAGGTCATCTCCATGCCTGGTACTTGATTGGAGTATGAGTCTCTGGAAAGACCCCTGTGTTCAAATTTTCTGGTTCTGATGCTCTCCTTGTGGAGTTCCTATTCTCTCCAGCTCTTACTATTTCCCTCTTCTTTCATAAGATTCCATGCAGTCAGCCCAACAGTTGGCCATAAGTCTCAGCATCTGCTTTGACAGACTGCAGGGCAGAGCCTTTCAGAGGCCCTCTGTGGCAGGTTCCTAACTTGTTTCCTGTTTTCTTCTTCTTCAGATGTCCATCCTCTTTGCCTTTTGGGATGGGGATTGAGCATTTTAGTCAGAGTCTTGATTAGTTTCTTTAGATGTAGAGATCTTAGTAGGCTTATCCTATATTATATGTCTATATGAGTGAGTATATACCATGTGTGTCTTTCTGTTTCTGGGACAGCTCACTCAGGATGATCCTTTCCAGTTCCCACCATTTACCTGCAAATTTCATGATTTCCTTATTTTTCATTCCTAAGTAATATTCCATTGTGTAGATGTATCACAATTTCTGTAAACATTCTTCAGTTGAGGGGCATCTGGGTTGTTTCCAGCTTCTGGCTATTATAAATAAAGCTGCTACAAACATGGCTGAGCAAATGTCCTTATTGAGTACTTGAGCCTCTTTTGGATATATGCCTAGGAGTGGTATGGCTGGATCTTGAGGAAGCATTATTCTTAGTTGTCTGAAAATGCACCAGATTGATTTCCAGAGTGGTTGTACAACTTTACATTCCCACCAGCAGTGGAGGAGGGTTCCCCTTTCTCTACAACCTCTCCAGCATGTGTTGTCACTTGAGTTTTTGATTTTGGCCATTCTGATGGGTGTAAGGTGAAATCTCAGGGTCGTTTTGATTTGCATTTCCCTGATGGCTAATGAGGTTGAACATTTCTTTAAGTGTTTCTTTGCCATTCGATATTCCTCTATTGAGAATTCTCTGTTTAACTCTGTTCCCAATTATAGAATTCTTAACAGAGGAATATAAAATAGAGAAGAAACACTTAAAAATTGCTCAATATCCTTATTTATCCTTATTCATTCAACGTCCTTATTCATTCAAATCAAAATGACCCTGAGATTCCATCTTACACCCTTCCGAATGGCTAAGATAAAAACCTCAGGAGACAACACATGCTGGAGAGGATGTGGAGAAAGGGGAACCCTCCTCCATTGCTGGTGGGAGTGCAAACTTTTAAAGCCACTTTGGAAATCAATCTAGACCTTTCTCAGAAAATTTGGAATTGCACTACCTTAGGATCCAGTTATACCACTCCTGGGCATATCCCTGAAAGATGTTCCACCATACAACAAGGACTTTTGCTCAACTATGTTCATAGCAGCTTTATTCGTAATACCC